GCTCTATATGAAAGTGTAGGTATGATGATCTTAAGACATGTTTCTTTATACTTTCTAATTCCTTAGAGAGGTAAGACAGATTGCCATGGTGCCATATGCATACTACACAACAATGTTCAAGTGCAGATTTTTTGAAAGATATATTGGAATTTTAACTAAGTCTTTATCCTCGACGGCTGCTCTGGTCAATACACAGAGTATGTGGAGACGTTTATGAGCTTTGGTAAGAGTAGTATCAAAATGGTTAGCATTGAGTTCATGCAATTGCTGAAGCTCCAAGAGATGATGGTATCAACACTTGATTGGATGTTTGAATTGCTCTTTCTTTCAAGCCCTTCGGACAAAGTTACCTTGTTGATGTATTTCCAGATACAAATTTTGGGTGTAGAGATAATCAAATTGTTGAACATTACTAGAAACAGTATTGGACTGAGTTTTGTTCCTTGGGGAACACCAGCTTTAATTGGAAGTCAAATTCTTATAACTAGTTTTATCAGGAAATGTGTAGCAGCCAGAGGGGAGAAACAACAATCAGATGGTAGGATTTGAAGGGATACACCCTTCTGTCTGGACTGCATCCAAGGTTTCAATTCTGGCCATTGAAATGTTGCAAGAATTTTCTTGGCCGCCATATAGGGGGCATGATATAAACTCTTGAGACTAGAACAGAGTTTTTAATGCTTCCAGTCCCCCGGCCTCTCATGACTGTTGAAGTCAGCCTGTACTCTTTATACAGTATAAATTTGCTTTTTCAATTACCTATAGATGTTGGGTACAAATCAAGTTGTTTCTGTTTAATTTGTCTAAATGAGAGGTACTTCTGCCTAATTTAGACTTTCATTGAAGATGTACCATGTGAAATGGAAACAAAAAATGAGAACAAGAAGAGAGGTAAAGTCCCTTTGTCTTAAATAATCTTTGGGAGTATGAGAGAAAAGACTAGTGAGAGAAAAGAAGCTACAGAAAGCTTTCTGCTCAATTAGTCTGAACACAATTAGTCTGAAAGAATCTGTCTTCTGATGGTTTCCTATAGCTTTTTATGACTCTCATCTTTGGATTTCTCTTTCTGCATCTTGATTCATTTTCTTCCTCTATTTTCATGTTTGAAATTTCAAGGGTCAGTGTCTTGGATAAGACCCTGACAATGTTATTTATTGCCTTGAAATGTGCCAATGTAGTTATGACAGTCAGTAGAGCTGCATTAATTGCTCTGGGAAGTTGTAATTGTATTGAGTCTTCAGTTGCCTTAGCTGACTTTAGGTTCATTTGTTGGAAAGGAAAAAAAAAATTAACTTTGGGCACTACCCTATAAATCTTAGATTAAAAGGAAGAAACAAAAGAGTATAATTTAATGGATGGAAAAAAGAAAATTGATTTATATTATGCCTTCAAGACGAATTTTTGATGAAAAAGGTATTCATAACAATAATTACTGGTATGACTTTCTTCAGTCGGTGAAGAAAACCGAGTATAAAAATAGATACAGATAATTTATAACGACATATTTATTTACATATTTATTTACATATTTATTTACACTAGGCTGGCCCAGTTCAGCTGCAAGCTTGTTTGAATGGGGTCCTGTATAGACAATATGAATAATAACAAAGTATGTCTAAAAATAGAAAATACAACACTAATTAAACACATCTGTCCACAAAGATATACAATATACATGACTTTTCTAAACATTACCCTAATTACAGAAATAAAGTTTAAAGGGTTGGGTGTTTGTCTATGTGGATGGTTATGGTACAAATGTTATATTTGAGGGTGGTGGCTCAGCAAAAGGGCTAAACTTTGACAAATGTTTCTTTTCTGTAGGGGTTGGCTTCTTCAGATGGTCATTACACCAATGAGTCATTTTAAGGTGCACAATAACAGAGCTAAATTTTGGCTTTTATTTTCATGGCACAAGGTGTTAGTTGATGTAATTCATTTAATCGACCTTTAAAATGAACTTAGCCAGCTGCGTTGTTTGTTTTTTGAGAGCAAAGTAGATATGTTTGAAGGTGTCGCTTGACTGTCGTGTAACATTTGAAGTAAACTCGAAGCGTGTGTTCATGAAAGACCAACTTCTTTATTGTAAGCCCCAAAACACGTGCTCTTTTTTTACCAGCAAGATATCCGAAGTACACTTACACAAAGCATCATTCTAAGACGTACGTTATGTAACAATGTAACCATAAAATTATATAACAAAGAAATCTACGTCAACATTAGCAAAAGTTATGGTATTGTCCATATGGCACTACCCTCGTAATAGACCTCGCTCACCGAAGAGTCTTTGTGGCTCAGTGGTAGAGCATCGGAGCGCAAATCCGAACGGTTGAGGTTCGATTCCTCATGGGGACTCAGAATTTTTCTTTATCCCACGCTTGTGAAAAGACAAAAAAACATCTTTCTTAGTTATGGTATTGTTCAGAGGAGAGCATACCTTAACAGAGATCAGAGCACATGTCTTGCGCACCAATGTCATCACAGTATTTGTGAATGCTATGGTCAAAAAACCTGTTTAGCCAAATTTTTTTTATCATTTAGATCATCAGGTGTCAATAATTTTCCACTGGAATTCTGTGACGGTAATGATGGGAAGGAAGGAAATTCTGTAGCTGCACAAGAATGTGCCTTTTGATTCGATTATTGTAGGCCTGGGCATTGCTGATATTGATAGCAGGCAATGCAACAGTTCTTGAGGTATCATCACTGAGTTATCGTCAGTCATGATTAAAAAATCATTTGTAGTCATGAAGAGAGAGTGTTTAAATTTGCGCATTTCCATCACGAGAGCCAAAATGTGGTTACAGCAGCCTGATGTACCAGCACAACTTGGTGCAAAGTAGACAAACTCAACATCTCCATACACAAAACACGGTGCAACGTCTCAGCGTAAATATCACTTTCTTGACATCGAAATGGACCTACAGTGCTCGAAAGATGATGGTAGAAATAAAGACATGATGTCCTGACTTGTAGGAAGAAATTATGAAATCAGAATCCCTGTTAGAATGGTTCAAATAATCTGATTGGCTGTACAAGACTAAAGCTGTCAAAAATGTCAAACCATCAAAATTAAAAAACCATCGAAGTTCATATTCTGCAATAGTTTACAAACTTAAATAGCTCGGCATGTCGAATTTAACACTTCTGCCTGAAGTTTTTTCGTTTCTAATACAGGATGTGAAAGTGAAATGTTCAGTGAAATTCGGCCCAATCGTGGCTCACAAAAATACGCAAGTTATTTCCCATGACGAGTAGAAAACAAACTGTTCAAGGCGAGTGTATTATGAATGAACAACAGCCGCATTCACTAGGATATGAAGATCGCTCGGAATGACAGCGCCGTAAAACTCGGCTACAGTGACTGATCTGGCCTTCCACTCAATGCATCGGAAAGGTAATCAGGGCAAGCTCTTATTTTTCCACTCGAAGGGTAGTCGATTTAGTACCTGAGGCTTGCTCCACTGCGATGACCGAAGATCGCCATGATGAGCTAGCCGCGATAGAGCTTAGCATGATCGCAGTCATGATTAGTATGAATTTTAACAGTTATGCCAGGTTATATTTTTCATCATTCCTGTTTTTTTCTGTTTTGTTTTTGAAATCGAAACTTTATATACTATACAAGTGTTAGCTGTGTTTGATTTTTATTACCGTACGTAAACTCGCAATCTAACTGAGCGTGAAAACCGTTAAAAAAACTCGGACTGTCTATTTTGCTTTATCTTTAAGGATTTTTGTCTCTGCTCACGTTACAGTAACGTAAATTACTGCGCCTGACATTTTTGCAAATCTTTGCTCGCTTGTTCCGAAATTTCACTTTCAATTAACGAAAGAAAAGCTAGAAAGAAGTCCCGGAAAAGGTCGGGCATAGTACGATTTGGCAGATGGCGTGACCGCTTTAGCTCAGTTCTATGCTCTATACTCTCATAGAGCACGCTCTTTCAACCAATGAGAGTAAGTGTTATATCCGAACTTTATTATAATATATAATAATCTAATGAAATGCACAATTGCCCACGGAAGATAGAAAAAGTCTTTCCAAACAACTGCTATGTGCTCTGTTTTCACTTATTGTGAAAAATATGTAAAATAGTATTGATGTTTTCGTTGCCTGTTGTAACGAGATAGCTGTCATCTTGTCTTTCTAACCCTAATGGCATTTGTCCTCAGTATTTTTTATGTGGCGATCTGTCGCGAGAATGGATGTGTTTTTTAAGTGCCTGAATTGCTCGGAAGAGCAAACTTACCTATATTGCTCTAGATGTGGAGCAGCCGTGGACAAAGAGGAAGTTCTCACTCGTTTTTATTTTTAGCGTGGGTTTGATTACTCGGTTATATTACTCTTTTTAGAAAAGTACCATGCAACAGAAATGTCCATGCCTACTTTGCACAATAGACTTCGCCATTGCGGATTAAGAAGAAAGAATGCAAAAACTGACGATGAAGAAATTTTCCAGGCCATTTAGCAAGATTTGAACGGGCCAGGCTGCATGAGGCAGGGGCGTAACAAGTCATTTTTAGTTTGTAAGCTTGTTCCATACCTCGTAAGTATAGTACTGCCGGGGAAGGTTGAGGAAGTCAAGTACGCCTATGATTTGTGAAACTCGTGCTTTATTACCGCTCAAGGTGGCTTATATATAAGATAAAGCACTTTATTAATGAATTCTTAGCAACTAAACGAAATCTGATTTGAAGCTATAACGAATTGTACTCGACAACTCAGGACTACTAGACTGAATGCCGAGCTAAGAATCTCAAGTTAAGCTTTATGGAATCTAAAGTTTAGCATCCTATTTTTCTTGCCGTAAAACTCACGAGCCACAGCCTCCCCGTCAATGGCTATGTACTTGTACGCGTGCATTAGAGCAAGGGGTGAGAGTTGCTCTGTCCTCATGGTTGCCTTTAGATACGTCTTGACTTTACGCATCAGGCTAAAACTGCGCTCAGGAGTTGCAGTTGACACAGGCATCGAGAGAAGGATCGTGAAGATGGTAATAGCGTTTCAATAAAGAGTTGGATTTATGCAGTCGAGAGTGTCGTTGGTCGCTCTCCAGTTGAATGCAGCCACTTTGTTTTCCACCGTAACATCTCGTCTTGTACTGTCTTTTGTCGGTCAGATCGCTTGGGTACGCCTCATACATCTTACCTTGGACGTCGTTGCCTAATCCCTACACTTTTGTTGGGAAAAGATACTGGGCTGGGAAGCGATCCACCAGTGATAAGAGCCTGTCGTTCATTTCTTGTATGAGATGATAAATAAGAGGGAGGTACACAGCTCTGCCAATAGGACTCTGGGTTTGTGGCTGGGGCATTCACCCTGTGTTGCTGCCTTCTGGTTGTTCTTGGCATGCATGGCCTAATGTCAAACTCAGCTGCAATCTGTCTTCCCCGCTCATACACTTCCTTCTAAACCGATGAATCGCCTCTCTCAGCTTTCATGACATTTATCACGACTCTCGCTTCTTGGGCTGCCTCGATAAGATCTACGCTATTTCCTTGCAACATATAGTTGACAAGGCAACTGTATTGGAGAGGATGTAGAGCTGCAGCTGCACGTAGAGCAATAATAAAATCAAACGGCTTGATAGAGCATAAGTAGCCCCTTTCCTTTACATCGCCATCCTGGGACAAGATCTCGAGCACCTGAACGATGAGTGGGAACGCTGCACGGAAGGTGCATCAGCCCTATTCACCCATCTTGTCTCGCACAGAGTTCGTAGCTTTGCACGCCTATCCATTTCTTCTCGGACTTGGACGTTCTGATCAAGAGGCTCCTGAAAGGCCAGCAGTCGCTTTGCTGAATAGTCAAACGCAAACGCGATGGTTTGTACTGTGGTTAACATATTGCGTATTAAGGGCTCCCCAAAAGCACGACCAATGGCAAGATTAAGGGAGTGCGCCTTACAATGGCAGTACACTATCTCTGGTACCTGTTGCCGTATGACGGCCTGTACTTCCCTGTGTACTCCTGAAATATTTGCAGCACCGTCACATCCTTGTGTTCGCATTTTATGGATGTCAATTCCAAACTCAGTAAGGGTGTCATGAACAGTTAGTGCTACTCCCTTCGAGCTTTCTGCCTCTACGAACCCAAGAAAGTCCTCTCTCACCTCTTCCTTGTTTTCTCCTTCCTTTCTCTGCACGAAACGTATACATACTGAGATCTGCTCCTTTGCTCCAGAATCTGTAGCTTCATCTGCTAAGAAAGCAAAAGAGTGGGCAGTGTTGCAGTCCCGTAACAATAACTTGCGGATGTAATCGCCACAAAATTCAATGAACTCATTCTGGATATCCGGCGAAGTGTACTTTGGAATTGTTCTGCTTTCATCGCTATTCAAGTGACCTGCAAGCACACGATCAGTCTTGGCTCTTAACTGAAGGAGGGTAAGAAAATTGATGTTTAACTTCCTCTTAGTGCAAAATTTTGTTTGCCACACAGCAGACGTGGGTTTTTGCAATCATTTAAAGCGGTCAATCAGAAACCAATCAATTTTTCGCTATCATTATTACTTTTGGGTTTTTAAAAATCTTTCTGCAAAGTACAGTAAAATTGGCACGTTTAATGGACAGGCCTTGTAGAACAAATACCTAAAAACGTTCACCCGATAAAAGCATTGCTTCGCATATTACACAAAACAGTGAAAACTTTATCAAAACCCCCAACCACTGATGCACGCGTCACATTTAAATGCAATATAAATATAGAAGTAGACGTGGGGAAGAAACCCGAAAAGAAGGATGGGGACAAAAGCACTTGGGCTTTTTCTTTTTTTTTTTTTGCAATTTTTTCCTTGTTTTCTTAACATTCACCTAAAAAACTAGTTCTATGAAATTAAAAGAATATTTATGTTCCAAGAAGAAATAAATTTTCCGAGAAAAGTTTGTAAGCCCGGGCTTCCTGGCTTAAAGAGAGCTACGCGCCTGTGAGGGGTTATCGAGCTATGTGGCACACCCTTCGTTTGGATTACAGAATACAAGCACCAAGAAGAAAGGTGGAAGGGATTTTACAACAAGTTGAACCTGAAGGAAAAGCCTTGCGAAAGGTTTGTGCACTAAGGAGAAGGTCGTCCACTAACCCAGGCCCGAATTTTGCATGGCAAGTTGACGACTACGATAAGTTAAAGCCATACGGCTTTGCCATTCATGGTGCGGTGGACGGTTTCAGTCGTCGAGTCATGTGGTTGAAAATTTGCCGTCGAATAATTACCCATGCCACTTAGCTTTATTGTTCTATGATTGTGTTAAATCAAACAGTCCTGTTTGTGGTTCTGTTTTAAAGATATTTTGCAGGCGAACCTAGATCATGTAAGGAATCACTGAAACACCCATTACATTGGAAATTTGCCGTCCAAAAATATTATCTTTTTGGTCCCCCTAAGTCAATTGCACCCTCAGAAGTTCCAGAATCATCAGTAAACTTAACTGAAACCTTGTTATCCGGAGAATAAGATTTTCTTATGAGCCCCCTTAAAGCACCTTCCCAGAGATGACTACGACTTGTATTACATTTTGATATCTTATCTTCATTAATCTTAAATGCTAGTTGTTCTAGTATTTCTTATAATGACCACCTCGTCTTTGTATGAAACACTTGAGGATCATCTACTGCCACAGGGACATTTTCTCCTTCAGAATCACTGCTGTAGAGCAAAGTGCCATGAATTAAGGATGCATAAAGCAGATCTGTATCCCTGGTGAAACTGGGATCACCATCACATGTTACAGAATGTGCATATGTGTGAAGAACACCAACATATGAGGCATTACTTGTGCTGTAAAAAGATAACTGGCTATGTGAATTCATGTACCTGATCTTTTGGTGCATGTTTTACTGTTGATTCAGTTTCAAACATCACTTTAATTATCTTTATAAGGTTTAACTTTAGTGAGAGTCAGGTTAATGTTTTCTTGTTCAATGTAATGTTTACCTTTGTTGATTGGTAAGGTGGTCTGCATCACTACTGAAACTAACATCAACATCAGATGTTGCAGGGTAAGTTTGTGTTTTTAGAAATGCACTACAAAAGAATTCAAAGGCCAGTGAGTATTATTAACAATTGAACTGTGGTGGATGTTTTACACCCAGTTCACTTTTAAACGAAAGATGATCAATTATTCTAAAACTACAGGTCAACAGTAGAATAAGGCAAGTCAGTTTCTTGTTTAGCCTAATGCTTACCTCTGCTGGAATGAAGGTTGATGGTCAGGTTTACTTTTGGACTCTTCTGATCTGAATTTTTTCATGATAAACAGCAAATTCAAAATTTCAGTAATTTGTATTCTTAAATTTTATTTGCACCATATTTTCTAGGAAAATTGTTGTGTTCAGATAATTCTGTGTTGCGTTTGGAAAAGTGTTTGTTGTGTTTCAAGAATTGTTTGTTGTGTTTGTAGATATGGGCCACCATTATTTTTCCGTGACAAACTTTGTTTTGCCGTGACAATTGTGGGCCACCGTACGTAATATCATGTCCATCAAACAAAACAATTACATGCCAGAGGTTCACCAAAGCAGAACACACATTGATAATTCCATCTATCATGGGGATTGTTTCTTTCTTGAGATCCATTAACGCTAGAAATGAGAAAATTTATCGGTAGGATTCCTCTTAAAATTGTGTTTTTCCTTCGAAGAAGACCAATGACCCTTACCACAAGTAAACTTGGTTAGCGGTGACTCCTTCGACCTCAACAGGATCCAGTTGTGCTTTTTCACGTGCAAAGGTAAAAAGTGCTAAGTGTGATTATTCGATGGATGGTAAATCCACGATCTGCTAGGAGAAGATCATCAGGTAGCAATTTCTCCAATATACTTCAGTTCTATGTCAAAAACTTGTCCGACGTTCTCCCCAAGCTTTTTAAACAAATGAAATACCTTTACTCTATTGTGATGTTTGTGAGACGAAAACGGTTGTGCACGCGCAAGAAAATTTGATAGTCGGTTAGTAAAACTTCAAAACAAGCACTGATGATAGTGGCGCAATTATTTTGAGCAAGGAAAAAAAAAACCGGCAAAATATATCTCGTGAGCGGCCCGACATTGCAACCCGTACCCCCATGTTAGTCAAGCTGCTCCTTGAGGGGAGGGTCTCGCTCTTTAACATATAACGAATATACTGTAAAATAAGGCTTCTGTTTTGGTTGCCAATTTTTTTAATAATGATGTTACCATGGCAAGATCATCTCTAAGGGCTACATTGTTATTAATATCCTTTAGACAAAACCTAAGGGTTATTATTTCCAGCCTGTAAATGTGATCTATGACACGGATGGAAAATATTGTCAGAGAACATGCCTCACCGAAGGATATCTGTGAATGGAGTTGTAAGAAGAACATTATTTACCCAATGGCTTCTAACCTGCTAGAAACAAACAAGCTCACAAAAATTACGAAGATTAATTACAATTTATGTAAATTCTTACGAAAGCGCACTTGAGTGTGTAATATGCAATTATTTTGTAACTGCAAATGATATTGACGTTCGCTACCGTGTTTCTGATTCTCGAGGCAGTTTGCGTGATAGGTGTTGTTGAAGAGATTTTCCAGATCGCTAGGTCTGTCACTGTCGTACTGATTCTAAATTTCCTTGGCCAGCCCTGCGTGGTTTGGCGAAAGAATAAATGACGCAGGTGTATCCGTGGTGACAGACGTTCCGCCACGCGATGCAACATACCGCTCAAAATAAAGTTGAGCATAAGGACGAAAGTTGAGCATAAGGACGAAAGTTGAGCATACGAAATAGAATGTAGCTGTCTATCTGGAGGAAAACTGTAACCTGTTTATGAATATTTTGAAGTATGCAAATTTGTCTGATTGAATAAAACGTTCAGCAGTTAGGCTACGAAAATAGGAAGTTTGGCATTTAACATAGATTGTCCGCATGAATGAGCGTGGGCTCATTTCTCAAATCAGGGGTGGTTGTGAATCAAGCCCAAAGTTTTCGGTTTAATGGGCTCGAGGAATGCAAAAAGGAAAATCGGGATTCCTTTCAGATCGTTACGTAAAGCCAGTCCACTAAAAGAAGCAGAGATGCCATTAAGGTAGCTCTGTCTCTGTCATTGGAAATTCGTGTTTGAAATCAATGGAAAAATTTGACAAGAAGATGGAAGTATTCATGATGAACCACCATATTGAATCGCATACCTTGAATATCTGCTAGAGAAAGAAGAGGTAGGTTGTTCATTGATATTTTTCGTTCTATTATCACTGGTACCCACGGTGATGGTTAAGATTTCGTGGTCATAGGGTACAACCCAGGCTACAATTTTAGCTTTAGTGTGTAGAAATGTCTCGCTATTTTGTCGTTGCATTGTTTAGAAATACTTCGAACTCACGGGTTGTGGAAAGAATTGCACGAGCTTTCGGGCACGATTCCGTTGAACTTTTTGTTGTAAAATGTAACGTTTCCAAATTCTGATCGCGCCGGGCGAAGAAGGTTAGGCTTACGGTTCCATGTAAGTACGTGCAAGGCCACAATTCCCGCTGTAGAGCAAAGAAGTGTTTGTCTTAAATTTGGTTCCTGCATTGTTGATAAATGCCACAAAGCATTTTTTACCTGTTTAATATGTTGTGTACTATGCGATCTGATGACCACCCTTCTTTCTTGCCCTGTGATAATATAGAGATTTAGCCAAGCCTAAAAGCGAAGCTCTTTTTAGTTTATTTTTCAGCCCTTCGTTAAACTGAATAAAAACTGCAATAAAACTCTTCAGGACTGGCTATAGAGGAGTTTCTTCTTTCTACATGTAAAATGTAACGTTTTCAAATTCTGATCGCGCCGGGCGAAGAAGGTTAGGCTTACGGTTCCATGTAAGTACGTGCAAGGCCACAATTCTCGCTGTAGTGCAAAGAAGTATTTGTCTTAAATTTGGTTCCTGCATTGTTAATTAATGCCACGAGGCATTTTTTACCTGTTTAATATGTTGTGTACTATGCGATCTGATGACCACCCTTCTTTCTTGCCCTTTGATAATATAGAGATTTAGCCAAGCCTAAAAGCGGAGCTCTTTTTGGTTTTTATTCAGCCCTTCGTTAAACTGAATAAAAACTGCAATAAAACTCTTCAGGACTGGCTATAGAGGAGTTTCTTCTTTCTACATGTAAAATGTAACGTTTTCAAATTCTGATCGCGCCGGGCGAAGAAGGTTAGGCTTACGGTTCCATGTAAGTACGTGCAAGGCCACAATTCTCGCTGTAGTGCAAAGAAGTATTTGTCTTAAATTTGGTTCCTACATTGTTAATAAATGCCACGAAGCATTTTTTACCTGTTTAATATGTTGTGTACTATGCGATCTGATGACCACCCTTCTTTCTTGCCCTTTGATAATATAGAGATTTAGCCAAGCCTAAAAGCGGAGCTCTTTTTAGTTTATTTTCCAGCCCTTCATTAAACTGAATAAAAACTGCAATAAAACTCTTCAGCACTGGCTATAAAGGAGTTTCTTTAGAGGATTGAAAGCAGTTCGGGGAGTGCGAAGTCTGGAACCTGGGGACGATGTTCTCCCAACGACACACGTGATAGTTAGCGGTATCTTCAGCCAGTTTATCCCCTTCGTCGTTGTTCTTGATGTTGTGACCAAGTTTTCGAGGATAGGGAGTGTTCTCTTCCTCAGATGAAGTGCATGATGTCAGCATCAGTTGAAATTATATTCTATTGAGCGTGACTTATAATTTCGGTTCGGGAAATTGAGCCAACATTGAAAGAAACGACAGTAAACCACTTTGCGTCAAGACATTACTGGTGGATCGAGGTGTTTACGTGAGTGAGCACAGTGAGTCAGTAAAACAATACGCCAGAATCGTATGAGCTTCTCTTATATCTTCTCTTGAAGTTTCCGGGTATGACTGCTTACTCCACCGTTTTTCCCCAACGTTTCAACCTCCTCTGTTTAGCGTAGAAAATTAAAAAAAAAAAAGTTCAACTCGTGTTTGAACTTTTTCGCTTTTGGCTGCTCTTGTTTCAGTTTTCACGATTGTCCTCTGGCTGGAAATAAACGACGTCTTTTTGAAATTTTTTCTGTGATTTAACTCGATAACCTCTGCTGTAACTGCATGTAATGTGGGTGTCTTTAAGAAAACTTGAGCTAATACCTGGATTTCACTTTTACATCACAGAAATCAATTCCAAACATCAATCAAGTTTCCTCTTTAGTTTAGAAGTTGAGTTGATGTTGTTATTGACTATATTAAATAGGTTGAAAAGGTTAGATGGTATTTTCGTATTTTTGCAAATAATTGAATTTACTGGGAGGTGGAGTTGTTGCAACTTGTTAATATGAAATGCGACAATACATTCTATTGATATGTAAAAAGTTTTCATCTGACTATCTACTGGCAAGTCTTTGTATTATATTTCAACCCAACCATTTCCCTCAAAATATAAACACTGTTACAAAATAATTAGTCAGGGAAAAAAAAAAAACCTGTGGCATATACACCATGTTTGAAATGCCGTGTCCATAGTTAGCTAACAGGATTGAGGAGGATGTATGTGGGAATAGGCCCTCTTGTCTGTATCAATACTTTGCTAATCACCCCTGTTGGCAATGTTTTGATGAGGTTGGGCTGTCAGGGCAAAGGAAGTAAGGATTATAGTAGGCAGTGACTTTTTTTCAAACCTGGAAACTATCATCATGAAAGCCATACTTGTGCCTGGTAACTCATTCTTATTCTGATAAACTAGTTTTGAGAAGGATACAATATTTTATAATAAAAACTTGATGCATAGGTTGTGCAAAAAACTTTAATATGAAAGATATACATTACAATCATCAGACCCTATGCATCCTAGCCAAAAAAGGGTCATTTACCACCATAACTTCTCCCAAATGTTCATGCTTACAGAAAATCATTATTTTTTGTCTCTAGGTGGTACTGTATGTACAATAGTTCTGCCAGCACAAATGCATTTTTCTAAAGTTATCTCATAGCACATGACTGTACAGGTCAAGTGGAAGGTTCCTGCATGGGGACTAACATTTCAATTACCTTAGCAAACTGTAATCATCAGAATTGTTAGCCAAGGTGTATTTACCAAGTGCTCAAGTTTCCAAACTAGTCACCTAATTCTTACAGTGGAGTTCAATCCTTTTTTAGCCTTTCTTCAGCTTGATCACCCTGTTACATGTGAAAACATCAAATGTCACTCACATTCAAATAATTACCTGAATCAAAAGTTATAATTTTTTTAATAACCTGCTACCTTTAATTGTGATCCAGGAATAGTAAATGGTATTGAAGAGAA